AAAAAAAAAAATAAAAAAATCGACTACTCGATGTCAAAAAAAAAAAAAACAAAAGAAAAATTACTACTCAGGTCTGAATCACGTGCACGTTGAATCTGAAAAAGAAAAAGAATCTAAAGATTTGAAGCGTGTGCAGGTGATATGCCGTTATGTGTTCACGGGGGGATGATATACACGTGGGTTTTAATCTGGGACGAGGGAAAAAGAAAGGAGGTCCACACATTGAGTAAATCTAAAGAGCCTACTTGTTTATAGTATGGTGTATTAAAAGGGAACTTGGCATGAGCCGCCTATCCACAGGGGGGTATGCGGAATATCCATTTTCTTCCTTTACTCACAAATTTTCTACTCTGATAACTTCCGTTTCATTGACTAACCCCTTTTCCGCTGGAATGCGTGAACTAGAAAAAATGACTTTGAAGGAATCTTCACCACCTTTTCTCATCATAAACTAGCTTTGCTTCACTTCGAAAGATGTTCAGTTAAATGTTCGCTTATTCTAACTGTTAATGCCATTCGTTTTTATGATTCTCTTAGGTCAGATTTGAGCCCGAAGATCATCATTCGTCCGCTTAACCAAGACTTTTGCTGGCCTTCCATTCGAAAGTTACATATCATATTCTGAATGAAGACGAATTTCGAGAGGAAAGTCAACAGCAATAGCACAAAGACTAGTTAGGATTGATTTATCCTGTCAGGTTCATTGGCTAGAAGCGACGACTCCGACGAAACAAGGAAAAGCCTGGTGACGTTTGGTGACGAGAACATAGCAGTCAAAAACATAAACAAGAAATAAAGCATGTCGTAATGTCAATCATTCTTCATTTTTCCTCCAGATGTGTCTTAAAGAACAGCAATTATTGACATGTCTGAAAATTTAAAAAACGAATGTAAAAGCTTTGCCTTTTCTCTTCTTTAAAATCAGTTTTGATCATTTTCAAAGTTCTTTTACTTTAAAAGTAACGACTATCAACTATATGAACTTGAATAAAAGACCTGGGGCCCGTTTCTCGAAAGCCCCGGAAACTCATTTTTTCGGGCCCGTAAAGCCATTTTTAGTTCATCTGTATCTAAAAACGGAGAATGTATACGCCTGAAACTTCTTGTATGAAGGGAACCTCTGTTCATATTAAGAATACGTGAATAAAACAGCTTTGTAATCATAAGGTTTAAGATTTTGATATGGCTTTCCGGGTGCGAAAACTTTTCGGGTCCTTCGAGAAAAAGGCCCCTGAATCGAAGGTCTCTGATAAAAAAATACAAAAAAGTACCTCTTTAAATGGGGCAGACCCTTTTCCACAAAGACATTTTTCTTACAATTTATTATTTTATCCTTATTTGATTACTTGATGCAACTTGGGCAAGCGGGACCTATCTAGCAGAATCGATAGACTTTACACTTGTGTACCTCGGATCATTAAAGGAAAGGGAACGTAAAGCCCCGGGGGGACCATATGAAAAGGACTGGGGTGCTCGTCAAAACGTTTGAAAAGAACCCCGACAACTTGTTTTGTGCGCGTGGCTTGAAATGTTTTCATCCCTAAGAAGTACAGGTACCAATTCTAAAACAACTCACTATCTCCTGTCATATTGTCAGTTTTAGGCACAACACCCTAAAAGGTACAACAAATGCTCCCGTTGTGGACCTTTTGAGGCTGAACACCCCAAGACAAACCAAAACCACTTTTATAACCCCTGCTTTTTGTTTGGAGTCCCCCTACCCCGGGCGTATAGCGATGACATACAAAGCCTTCTTAGCGAGATTAATTCTCCTTACGAATAGAGACAATAGTCCCACTCGACGTTCCTGCTGCTTTGCAGGCCAGATACTGTCTCTAAAGCAGCGTCTTTTTGTTATCTGTTCTTTGATAATGGTTTTCATTCTTCAGGTAGAGATGGCTCTGGTCTCTCAGGACTTTTTTAAATAAAGGCTTGATTTTTCTTTGTGGAAACCATAAAGAAATAAATTTCACGCTCTTTTAATCCAAAATGGACGCAGCTATGAGCCACTGAGCTCTTTCAAAGAGAAGCTTGTAGAGAGCAGCCGCTGGCCAAAGGTGTCTGTCAAAATTTTTGGGGTGGGTGGGCCCGCCGGCCCCTCCCATTCTACGACCAAGAACAAGGACAAAAAAGCTGACCGGGGATTTTTTAAAAAAAGACAACAGAAGAGCTTTAGAGCCTAGGAAAATTGCACCAGGGAGGGCAAAATAATTCACCAGGTCTGTCTTTGACTTCTTTAACCAGTGGGGAAGTCTCGATAGAGACTGGGGCGGGACAACCATCAATTAGGCACCAGTCTTACAAGACCTCTCACGGTTTCGGTCACGGTCAAAATGGCGGAAAAATTGTTTCCCAAGCTGGTTTTATTCGGGGATTCCATTACTCAAGTAAGTTATTCGTTTTGGCGATTTTCGTTCGGAGTCATATAAAAGATTAAATCACAAGACAGGTAGTTTATCTACAGTAACTCGTATACCCTCACAAATAAATTTTACCTCCAATTGTAGCTTTTGATCACTTCTAATAATAGTAATAGCAAATTAGTGAATTAGCCACGTAGCGGTAGCTTATGGGCTTTTAAATATTTCATCGATTCAGTAAAAATGAAGCCTTCCTTAATCAATCTATTTCCACAGTTTATACCATCATAAAACATAGAAATGATATCATAAACTGCTTAAAACTGGAGTGCAACCAAGGACTTCCTTGTTTAAATTCACCGGCGATTTAGAGTTATGTTTTAACATAACACGCGCGTGCGTGACACCAGGGGCGTGACAGTTCGTAAGATCACGTTTTTTAAAACTGCCCAGTTCGTCGATGTCTTCGCCCTAAATAACCCAATTGAAATTTCAGAACTCGATGGTTTGGGGTTTATTGTAAAAGTCACCACAATTTCTCAAGTTCTGCAAATATTGCCTGAAGTTGTCTAGCATTGCTTTCCAAGTTACATCATCAACTATATTAAGCCAAACCTGTTTCCTCATTCTTCTGTCCTTTTGTTCTCTACTGTTTTATGTCAGCTGTGTCGTCTACACCAAGTAAGGGCCACTCTTGACCACTGGACGTGCAAGAATTGTCTCAGTAAACACATAATATAATTTTCAATAATAATAAAAATAATAAAACGAATGTTTGAACAAGATAAATCCATTATCAAAGGGGTCCTGTAAAACTTAAAAAGTAAGAAAACAATTAAAACTTTACAAAACTTTACCATTAAGAAGTACATAAAAAAATCACAAAATCAAGCTTACATATAAAAACCTCAAATGAAAAAGTTTGTTGACCTTTTGTCTAAATAACACAGTAGAGTTGGTATTTTTAACCACTAATGATGAGCTATTATAAATTGAAGCACTCAAAAAAGAAAAACTTTCACAGCGGAACTCCAGTTTCATTTTGGTTTAAGGAATGTGACAGTTTTTATTTAACTAGGTATTTTGTAACACCACCCTGTGGGTACAATCTGGGCAATTTGCATGAATTTGAGTTGAAACTTATAAATCCAACAGGAATCGTTTAGCGAAGGAGGATGGGGTGCAACAGCAGTAGGTCACTTCCAGAGGTCAGTAGTCAATGGAAGTTCACTTTTTATTTAAGAAATAGGAAACTTGCTCTGTAATTCTATCGAGTTATGAAAACATGAGTGGAAGTTTAGGAGGACGAGAAATGCTGTGGGAACATGAGCCAGCACAGCTTTTTCAAAATCTCCAAACTTTCTCAAGTATTTCTATTTAACAATTAGATTATGAGCTAGAGATTTATATCATGTGATAGTTGATTTGTGTGCTCCCTGAGTCAGCTATCACTCAAAGAGATCTATTTGTTCAAAACTTTATCTAAATCCTCTTCACAGATTCAATTGCTCAAGCCATTGCCCACCTTACAAATTCATGCACAACCTTTAGGCAGGCAAAAACATTTAGTGCCCCAGAAAATTGTCCAAGGCCCCATCATAATAGTAATGTTCGTCCATAACCTTAAGGTACCCAAAAATATTATTGACCAAGCACAGTCCCAAAATAGCTGCAGGGAAGAAGAAATTAGCAAGATATCTGGAAAAAAGTGACATGACAGCCTTCTAGGGGAACAATTTAGCAATCAGGAGAGTTTTAAAACTTTAATTTACAACACATTTTTGAAGGAGATAGCGGTTGTGTTTTTCCTCCAAAACTTATCATTAATTTTTAAGGTACCTTTAACATTTCCAACTGGTAAGGCTTTTTACCTGGTAAGTGGGAGAGGGGTCTCGGGCCATGTTTAATTTAGGGGGTTCAGCCAAATCCTACTAGATCTTCCCCAGGTTAACAACAGATCTAAAGACAGATCTTTTTGGTACTGATAAGGAGACTATTTCCAATAGGAAATGTGATGTTCTTAATCGTGGATTTAGTGGATATACTACGGCATTCAGCAAACTGATTCTACCCAAAGTCCTTCAATGTGACAACAGTCCCAAAGGTAGCATTGCAGCAGCAGTCATCTTGCTTGGCTCTAATGACGCTGTCTTGGAAGACATTGATCCACGAGGACTCTCTGTTGAACAGTATGTTACAAACTTGACTGACATCTTAACAAAATTCATGAATGATGGGATAGCAGCAAATCAACTTATCTTACTAACACCGCCGGCAATATCAGAAGTTATGTATGAGAAACGTTGTCGTGAAATGGGTAAGCAACCATATGATAGTATTATGCTAATCAAGAAGGCAATTCTTAAATATGGCATTTTTACGACAACCCTGGTCAGGTGCAACACAGAATTTGGTTCCTCCTTGATCTTGGTGAGAATGAACAGAGAAATAAAATCCCCTATAAGTCCCAGAGTCAATATCAAATTTGTGCTAAAGCCAAAATGTATCATTTCTTTCTGTATTGAAATGGGAGGAGGGGGTGATCTAAAGATTATATTTCACTTTAATTAAGTTTAGAAACTTTGACATTTGGACAGAATAGTTTGCAAAATTAACCCCCTCCCATCTCCCCAAACCTAACCAATAATGAAATGATGAAAAACATGTTGAATGAGGTATGTGGTCTTGATTTTACACCCAATATATTTATTAAATGGCTCTGAGCTCTGTGACCTTGAAGTAACAATCTTGGTCAATTTAAATATCATCATTGAAACATGGATCTACTCTATTGTGGGGGAAATTTTTTCCACTTTGCCTCCTGCCTCAATGTGATAAACTGCAAGTTGGATGAAATCTTTTCTCTTAAGTTTACTCGTTTATGTTAAGTTGAGATATTTATGTGTATGATTGAAGAGAATTGTTGTCTGTTAAAAATGGTGCATTAGGAGTGTGGGTTAGATGTCTGCAAGAGATTAAAGACATTGTCATCATTCTGTTCAATAAATAGTTACACCCATTGTTGAAGCATCATGGTCTTGATCACGTTTGGCATTTTTTTTTGTAGTTAATTATTATTGTCACATTTAATTATCTTGAGATACAAACAGAATGTGTATGGTATTGTTTTACTTGAACTATTATATGCTGAAAAATATGTTTTATTGTGTCTAGGATGTGCAATGTCTTTATCAGATGAAAGAGTAAAATTATTTGCATCAAGATGTGCTGACTTGGGAAAGTCTATTGGAGTGGATGTTGTAGATCTTTACACATTATTCCATCAGCAGCCAGTAAGCTTTTAACTTTTATTTCATTTATCTCTGCCATTTACAGAATAATTCAATACATACTATTAAGATAAGCCCTGGCCAAACAGACTCGCAAGTAGTTGCAAGTAACAAAAACAAAACATTTCATGACTTCCAAGACTGTATTTCATTGGCTAATAGGTTGCTATAACAATGAATGGATGTCTCTCAACTTGCGTTGACTTGGGTTAAGTGGCTGAATCGGTGGCCAAATGGTGAATAGCATGCAAATTTGATCTTGACCAAAGTGATGGCAAGTCATCGCAACTCTTCACAAGTGCATGCAAGGCCTGGCCAAATGGAGTGGCAGGTTGACCCAAGTTTTCAACTTGCATCCACTTGCGTCTACTACCTTTTGGTAAGGGCTTTAGATGAAAACAGAAAAAAGTAAAAACTCGATAAGTCAAAAAGAAACTGCCAGGTTTGTACAAGAGAGTTCAAAAATACTCCGCTACGCATCGTGTTTTCAGCTCTCGTCTCGTTTTTTAGAAATGTATTCAAACACGGTCTTTCATGTTTGATATATTACTTGTAGGTTGTTTAATTGTTGCAACAGAATTGTACCTCAAGAACTACATGTAATTGCTACTGTTTTGTTATGTTACCAGAACTGGGAATCGTTTCTGAGTGACGGGCTACACTTGTCTAAAGAAGGGAACCGTTTTGTGGCAGATCACGTGATTCCATTACTAGATACCAAGCTAGGACACTTACCTAAGATATTGCCTGACTGGAAGGATATTGACCCGAAACATATAGAGAAAGCTCTGCTGTAATCATGAGATGTCTCACAGTGCGACTACTCAAACTGGGCTGCTTGGAAAAGAGTAAACCAATCAGAACGTTACTACAGAACAAAGGATACCGATCTTTTTCTTAAATAAACCAATAACATTGAAACAAACAATAGGTTTATTTCCAAATATGGAAATCCAACAAAAGTGTGAACTGTTGCGGACCTCTCAGGAAATTTTGTCAATTATTGATTGGTTAGTTTCGATCTTAAATTTTGGACTGAATCTGTAGAGTGTATGCAACACAGAGGGGTCAATATTATTCATGTACCAGTGTATATGTCAAATGAACCCTTACTTGCGTTCATTAAACAGACAGCAGTCCATTTTTCTCAGATAAGTTCTAATTGTTAGTTTTCTCCTAGGTGGCCCGGTTCAAGTAGTTGCACTATAACAGGAATCTAAATCTGTCCTTTCTTCAATTAAATATACACAATTTTCCGGAATGATATTGAAATGTCAATCAACATTCATGGACGTGCCCGATCACAATATTTCGGCCATTTTCAAAGTCTTGTGTTACCATACAGACTGTAAAGAAGTGCGTTTTTTAATGGTAATCTTAGCACCAGGGTAAACAATGGCTTACGTTTTATCCATCTCGTCCTTGTAAAAGAAGAAATCACTATGCATTTTCGACGAATAAAATGATACAAAGTTGTGTTACAAGGTTGTTCAATATTTTATTTAACGTTTTAGATATTCAAAACTATCATCAGACTACAAAAGATTACTAGAAGACTCTGAGATTTTCGCGATAGGTAACTGACGAAATCATGTTTTATTGATCTAAAATCCAGCTATTGCGTCTCTGCACTTGAACGATACAAAATGTCATTAAGTGTTAAGCTCATAAGTTACTTAGCTTTGCAAAATGCCGTCACATTATCTATAAAGATCTAACAGAAATCAAACATCTTGGGCTGATAGTGTAACCATACCAGGTTTAGGACAGGTTCTGACCCAGTTTAGGACAAAGCCAAGTAAAACATACTATTATATGCCCTGTTCAAGACAGCCAGGCCAAAACACTGCCTTACTATAGGAAATTAATGCTTCATGAAATTAACGTGAATTTTTGAAATTTACATTAATTTAAGCTGCATTAATTTATGTAAATATTAATTTCCACTCTGTTAATTAAGTTGCGTGTTAGTTTCTGCAACGTTAATTACCATTATTTTCCCCCAAATATGTGACACACTTCAGACATTCTTGACACAGCCAAACAATAAATTTTATTTGTGCCCTTTACATTTCACATCAATCTTTCACATTAGTAAATCATTTACTGTGCTTCAACTGAATTTTGTTCGTATTTGCTGTCAGCTTTACAGTGTTAAAATAAATTGGTTCCTGTTCTCAACAAATTCTGTTTTTTTTTTTTGGTGTAGCAGATGCGTTAATTTCCCTCATTTTGAAATTTTGTCCCCTCTCTCGAATTAATTTCCTTTATTGGGAAGGAGATTTACCTTCAATTCGTGTTAATTTAAGTTGTGTTAATTTCAAAAACGTTAATTAACAGGAGCGTTGCCTATAATAAGGTATACTGTACCCTGTCCAGTGGCACATCTCCCTACAAGCTAAATACGGGAGTGGCTCCCCCAGGGGATAGGGGATGGTCAGTGAAATATCAGCTATTTACTTGCTGGGGTCCAAGTACAGTCAAACCTGTACATAATAGCCACCCTCAGGACTTGAGGAACTGGCTGCTTAATACAGGTGGCCACTTAGTACAGGATCACTAAAAATACTCCCTGAGCATGGTCTAATGATATAGTACTGTACTTCAGCACATTGCGGACATGCAAAGCGTTAACTATTTGAACTTAACCCCTGCTATTTCAAACTGCTCTTCCCCTCGAGGGTTCCAATTAATGGGCTTCAACTGTACCAATATTTCATAACCAGAGAGCATAATGCAAATTAGTCATTACATGAATGAGCTCGCTCTAGGAGCCCTTTGCTTTATTGCAGTTTTATTACAAACACCTAAGGTACATACCCCTAAGATTTAGAAATGTTACTGGACAATTTGCTAATCAGTTGTGACTTATCATTTGTTTTAACATTTGTTTAACAAGCTCAGTTGCCAGACAGTATAACCCTATTTTTTTAATTTTTCTATGCAGTTACTTGCCTCATTATTTGTTTAACTAATATTGAACTTGTCACGTATACTGTCGGCAGCTTGAGTACATCATGTTCTGCAGTATTTGTACTGGCCTCCAGGAATTCGTTCTGATTAGCTTTCTCCCTGTCCACACCAGTAGTGCTACTGCATGACTTGTGCGAGGATATCACAAATTTTTCCACTAGCTCAAAAGAATGATCTTTTTAACCATGAAATCTCTTAGCAGGAAAGATATACTTTTATTTAAAAAAATTCCCCAAAGAAACAAAAAATGCACTGAAAATCATAGTTATGAATGTAACCCACTTAACCCAACTTGTAAAAGGTGGGATTACTTTCGAAATGATCACTCTTAACAAGTTATCTTGATTTATTGTTATATCATCAAGTTAGGATGTAACTGTCATCTCCTTCTCTTGATCCATATCTTGATTCTTATTAAGTTCAGATTCATCCAAACTGTTGGACCTCTGTCCAATGACCTTTTCCTACAAGGATAAGACACAAGAATGTACAGCAGTAATGTTAACATAACAACAGCCAATCACAAAACTGGAAAGCTAATGATTAATGGCAGGAACACAGCTTATCCCACAATGCAGCTTCAGTTTCTCCAACTTTCACCTTTATCATGATTATTATTACTAAACCAGAAATAGAGCAATTTTCATTTGAGTCTGGAAAAGTAATTGGTTTTGCACTTACTACGCTACGCGATTGGCTTAAAAAGCTTGTGCTAATTTTTCATCCAATCAGAAGTAAAACTAAAACCAATCATGACTCACACATGTTTTCCTGCGTTTTGCGTCAGCTACATGTAATTGCTTCAGGTTTTGACTGGTTCACTGTATTGTCTGTCCTTTGTGATTGGCTAGAGTGATTAATTTGGTTTTGGTTTTACGACACTCAACTGAAAATCGCTCTGTAGCTTCTTAATAATATCATTGAAAAACGAAAAAGCGATATCATTACATTTCAAATATCTTGAACAAGTTCACATCTTAAAAACAACACAAAACTTCCAAAACATGTGTGTATCAACCACAACCTTCCTTTCTTTTCTTTTTAACAATAACCAACANTGGCTTAAAAAGCTTGTGCTAATTTTTCATCCAATCAGAAGTAAAACTAAAACCAATCATGACTCACACACATTTTCCTGCGTTTTGCGCCAGCTACATGTAATTGCTTCAGGTTTTGACTAGTTCACTGTATTGTCTGTCCTTTGTGATTGGCTAGAGTGATTACTTTGGTTTTGGTTTTACGACACTCAACTGAAAATCGCTCTGTAGCTTCTTAATAATAATATCATTGAAAAACGAAAAAGAGATATCATTACATTTCAAATATCTTGAACAAGTTCACATCTTAAAAACAACACAAAACTTCCAAAACATATGTGTATCAACCACAACCTTCCTTTCTTTTCTTTTTAACAAATAACCAACATCCCACTACCGAATACAAGCTAATACCAAGGTGAGGTACACTCAAAATATTAAAATTAGCAAAAATGGTGCATATGACTAATTATTACTAAGGACTGAAACTAAAACTCTCCAGCTCACAGCTGAAAGGAATAAGTGGATGAAGAACTGAAATCAAAACTACCAAGCCAGTGAAAACACATTGTTTAACAGTAAAATGATCCATTTATTATTGGCAAACATATTTGATGAATTAGATTCCAATCAGATACATATATTAATTCTAGCTACATATATGAATGTTTTCATACAGAAAACAGTTGACATCAGTGTAAACTGGCTTACTGTGCGAAAACCAAACCATTTTGATGATTCCCATGCTTATTA